AGAAGGCATTTGCCTAGGGCAGTGTTTTTCAGGGGGGCAGCCCCCCCCCCCAGGAAGAAGGGACATATGCGGCATGGGGACCAGGTGCAATCCGAAAGAGGCTGTGGGCTTTGGGGGGTGTTTCTGCTGTTGGTAGGTGTCAGGCTCTCTCTGCCGGGGGGGGGGGGGGACATCTGATTTTTGTGTTGCCTAGGGCAACACTGGGCACATGCACAGCTCAGCTTACAGTGCCAGACCTGCCTCAAAGGGCCAGGGCAACTAACTCCTGCTCATGTGCAGGAGTGACCTCATCCCCCGCCAGCCAATGAAGAGGCCCAAAGACCGGAATTCAGAAGAAGCTGCCGGAACCGGCAATAGACCATTGGACAGGTAAGTATTCATTTTTTAGTTCTAAGCAATATATGACAGCCCCATCCATTGGTTCATGAGTAGATTTCAACTTTTACAATCTTTAACCATTGCAGTTAAGGCACTATTCTCTGTGTGTTGCATTGCAGTGCTATTCACTTTAAATACTATTTTAGTTATTTTACGTGTTTGGGGCTTTTATTCGACATGTGCAAAGAGAGATCACACAAAGCTATAACATTTAGTTACAGTTGCAAGAAAAAGTATGTGAACCCCTTGGGATTATGTGGAGTTTTGCATGAATTGGGCATAAAATGTGCTCTGAATGTCATCTAAGTCACAACAATAGAAGAACACAGCCCGCTGAACATAATACTGCACAAACATTAGATGTTGCCATGGTTTAATTGCACATAACATGTAAACATTTACAGTGCAGGGAGGAAAAAGTATGTGAGGCCCTAGCTTAATGACTTCTCCCAGAGCTAATTGGAGCCAGGAGTGAGCCAACCTTGACTCCAATCAGTGTGATGATATTGGATTTGTTGCTGACAGCTGTCTTGCCCTTAAAAAACACACACCTGTTTTGGGTTTACTGGTTTCAAGAAGCACTGTCTGATGTGAACCATGCCTCGCAGAAAAGAGCTCTCAGAAGACCTACGATCAAGAATTGTTGACTTGCATGAAGCTGGAAAGGGTTACAAAAGTATCTCCAAAAGCCTTGATGTTCATGTGTCCACGGTAAGACAGACTGTCTACAAATGGAGAAAGTTTAGCACTGTTGCTACTCTCCCTAGGCGTTGTCGTCCTGTAAAAATGACTGCAAGAGCACAGCGAGAATGCTGCATGAGGTAAAGAAGAATCCCAGAGTGTCAGATAAAGACCTACAGAAATTTCTGGCACATGCTAACATTTTTGTTGACACATCTACAATAAGGAAAACATTAAACAAGAATGGAGTACATGGGAGGACACCACGGAGGAAGCCATTGCTGTCCAAAAATAATATTGCAGCACGTTTGAAGTTTGCAAAAGAGCACCTGGATGTTCCACAGCACTACTGGCAAAATATACTGTGGACAGATGGAACCAAGACTGAGTTGTTTGGGAAGAACACACAACACTATGTGTGGAGAAAAAAAGGCACAGCACACCAACATCAAAACCTCATCCCCACTGTTAAAACATGGCGGAGGGAGCATCATGGTTTGGGGCTGCTTTGCTGCCTCAGGGCCTGGACGGATTGTTGTCATTGATGGGAAAATAAATTCCAGAGTTTATCAAGACATTTTGCAGGAAAACGTACGACCATCTGTCCGCCAACTGAAGCTCCGCAGAGAATGGGTGATGCAACAGGACAATAACCCAAAGCATACAAGTAATTCAACAAAACAATGGCTGCAACAGCACAGAATACGCCTTCTGGAGTGGCCCAGTCAGAGTCCTGACCTCAACCCGATTGAAGCATGCTGTGGCATGACCTTAAGAGAGCGATTCACACCAGACATCCCAAGAATATTGCTACACTGAAACAGTTTTGTGAAGAGGAGTTGTCCAAAATTACTCCAGATCATTGTGCAGGTCTGATCTGCAACTACAGGAAACGTTTGGTTGAGGTTATTGCTGCCAAAGGAGGGTCAACCAGTTATTAAGTCCAAAGGTTCACATACTTTTTCCTCCCTGCACTGTGAATGTTTACATGTTATGTGCAATTAAACCATGGCAACATCTAATGTTTGTGTAGTATTATGTTCAGCAGACTGTGTTCTTCTATTGTTGTGACTTAGATGACGTTCAGAGCACATTTTATGCCCAATTCATGCAAAACTCCACGTAATCCCAAGGGGTTCACATACTTTTTCTTGCAACTGTAAGTAATGATAGATACAGATAACAAATGTAATAATATTAGAAAATATAATAAGAATACTTAACTAAAGGTGACTTTTCGCCACAGAGTCCCACCCACTTTCACAGCATGGCACAGATGATCAGACCAAGTCACATGCTCACCCTGGTAGAGAAAGAATATTCCAAGGTTTTAGCTGTGTTATATACAAGAGTTGAATGTAAAGAAATGGCCAACCTCCTTGAGAGCAACTTGACCTTTTAAGGACTTACATAGTTACATATAGTTACATAGTTAGTCTGGCTGAAAAAAAAAGACAAAAGTCCATCTAGTTCAACCAAAAAAAAAAAAAAGTTATAATTCTATACCCACAGTTGATCCAGAGGAAGCAAAAAAAGCAGCAAAGCATGATCCAATTTGTTCCTACAGGGGAAAAAAAATTCCTTCCTGATCCCCCCGAGAGGCAATCGGATATTTCCTGGATCAACTTTACCTATAAATGTTATATCCAGTTATATTCTGTGTATCCAACAAAGAATCCAGGACTTTTTTAATGCAATTCACTGAGCTGGCCAGAACCAACTCTTGAGGCAGTCCTATTCCACATTTTCACAGCTCTCACTGTGAAGAAACCTTTCCGTGTTTGGAGATTAAATTTCTTTTCCTCCAGACGTAAAGAGTGCCCCCTTGTCCTCTGTGATGACCTCAAGGTGAATAACTCTACACTGAGTTCATTTACATAATGATTTTTCCAAGCCTGTAGACTTTACGTTACACATTAGCTGTGTGTGGGGACTTGGTCAGTTTGTAATGACATTCCTTTGGTATGAGGTCAGCTGTGGTAACAAAGCTTTCAAAGCTTTCTTAGATATTGTGAGACAAGTTTAAAAAGGAAATATGACATTCCTCATCAAATGCCCTTTTACTGTGAAGGCTGTCCACAAGACTGGTAAGAAGACCGGCTTCAGCAGACATGACAACCAGAACTGGCAAGGAGTAAGGACTTTTTGATTAAAGTATTATTAAATCTCTGTGCTAGTCCATCTCTATATAAGCACATAAGCATTCACCTGCCTACAATTTTTAAGTTATTTTTAAAGATTAGGCAGATATAGGCCACACATTAAAGCATTAAATGTATTTTTAAATGCAAGCAGTGTACTAGATTGTGACCTGGTATCAGCCTCCTGCAGTTCCTGTACAGCAGGGCTGGAGTCTGAGAGGAAGAAGTGAGTTAGTAGAGGACTAAAAATGTCTGGTGCTTATCTGTTCCTGTTCTAATTTATCATTTTAGCTTTGGAATGTGCGCACACTGGAAGAGACTCAAGCTGACACACAAGTTCAGTCTATGAACACTTCTAGTTTATTATAATGAGAAAGTGAGCTTATATATGCAAAATGATGCAAAAGTCATGTGACAACAGCATAAGCATTATATTAGTCTTTGATTGGTCATTTCCACACAAAAACAATCTCCGTCATGTATAGGTGTGATCTTCTTCCAAGTCTTATCTTATAGGAAAAAAACATTCTTTTGTCTCCCAAATCACACGGTGGGAGGGGATCTGTGTGTGTGAGCAGACATTTCTTAAGCAAGGATAAAAGTAAATATTTATAAAACTTATAGAAATAGCATATATATATATATATATATTCAATAGGAAATGAAATAAACATTTTACCAAATCCATCACAGAAGCAGCACAAGTAGCTGACAAGAAGCATACTTATAGGAAGAGACAGCATAGTGACACAGAGATGAGCTCATCATTGTGCTGCTTTTCCTTTCTCCAGTCACATGCTAAGGTGGGTCCAGGACGACCTGGGCTCGGAGAAATGGGTTGAATGATGCTGGTCATCATACCGAGGATATACAATGGCATAAAAATTACTATGGGGAAAATTGTGAGATTGAAGGTGAATATTGTAGTAAAAGATGGTCTATTTTATCATCTAATGGGCATTTGTGCCTTTAATTTTTGGCTGGAGTTATGCTTTAACTGTCTCAATTTGGGCTTCAAAATATAATGGCGCCTTAATGTACATAGACAGTGCACATTCTGTGAATACTATGCTTTTCATTGGAAAAAAAGGAGCAGGTATGTTATAACCTGCATTGTGACGTGCTGACATTCAAATTAATTATCTGCCTTAACGCAACACAGGTTAACACTGGTAATGACATATCTAAAGGTGTGCATAGCTGCCTGGACGATCAACCTGACAGCTTCATATTATATCACATTGAATATTGGTCGGGCAGTCTGAGTCATGAGCCTTACTGCTTCATGTGCTAGATTTACATTACACAGCATGGCACCATCTCCTAATTTTGTAATCTGGATCAGTCATTCTCAGCCAGGGTTCCTTCAAAGTTGTCTAGGGGTTCCTTGAGTTGTGGCTGATTGATGTCCCATTTGATGGTGCTGGCATAAATTTGTAGGACACCATGACACCAATACTCACTTTAGATGTCTGTAAGGTTGACACCACTGTAAGGGGAGCAATCTTCTTACTGACCACCATTCTAAGGAGCATTCTTTCCACTGAGCACCTGCTTAAGGAGCGTTCTTCTCATTGACCACCAATGTAAGGAGCATTCTTTCCATTGAATACCAATGTAAGGAGCATTCTTTCCACTGATCACCTGCTTAAGGAGTATTCTTCTCATTGACCACCAATGTAAGGAGCATTCTTTCCACTGAGCACCAATGTAAGGAGCATTCTTCCCACTGAGCACCAATGTAAGGAACATTTCTCCCACTGAAAACCAATTTAAGGAGCATTCTTCCCACTGATCTACAATGTAAGGGACATTCTTCCCACTGACCACCAATGTAAGGGACATTCTTCCCACTGATCACCAATGTATGGAACATTCTTCCCACTGATCACCAATGTAAGGGACATTCTTCCCACTGACCACCAATGTAAGGGACATTCTTCTCACTGACCACCAATGTAAGGGACATTCTTCCCACTGATCACCAACGTAAAGAGCATTCTTTCCACTGATCACCAATGTAAGGAGCATTCTTCCTACGGATCACCAATGTAAGGAGCATTCTTCCCGCTGATCACCATTGTAAGGGACATTCTTCCTACTGATCTCCAATGTAAGGAACATTCTTCTCACTGATCACCAATGTAAGGAGCATTCTTCTACTACTGATCATTTTCCCAATGACCTTCAATGAATTGGTTTTAGCATGGGCTCTCAGAGACCTGAAACTTATTTCAAGAGATCCTCTGAGATAAAAAGTTTAAGAAAAGCTTGTCCGGATCATCAGCAAAACAGCTCCTTTTGAAGGATTTATATTGCATAGCACATCACACACTACTAACTTATCATGCACAATTAGGAAGAGATTGTATATTCAAGAACTGTTTTAGGAGAAATCTATACAAACAACCATCTTATCCCCTAATCCTCCGTATTGACTAGTTGGAGTTCAGGGTGCAGGAGGCGAACATGCAGTCAGAAACCTAAGAAGATTCTTGATCTAAGAAACTACTGGTAATACATATACAATAAGGAAAAGCTAGTAAACACAGATAAGACTTTTCCTAATGTTAACCTCTTCCTGCCAGCCGTGCGCATGTAAGCTGTGTACCGGGGTGGGCTCCCCAGGATACAGTGAAATCACAAACGAGGAAAGCAACCCCAACACCAGCTTTTGCCACAACAGAATTTTACTTAGATGTGGCAAATAAACACAACCACAAATGCTGAGAACATACAATAAATTTACATACACCCAGCCCAAAGGCTGAGACCCTTGTGCTGCACAGCACGGCGCCTCCTGATGGATGAAGGTAGAAGGTGTAGTAATTTACATACTGGCGGGCACAACTAAGCTGCCACACCTTACCTGTTATTACCCTAAAAGAGCAGGAATCGGTGTATGGGTGTATGGTACGGGCTAGCCTGCGGTGCAGCACAACAGTTTACAATCTTACACAAATCTACAGTATTCCCTCTCCCATAACTGGTCCTGTAGCACGTGCCTGAGTATTCCTTCTGAGCAAAACGCCAGTCTGGCTTGAGTTTGTAGGATTTTATCAGCTCTCCAATGTGAAATGTCACTTTAAGTTGTGGAGTCCTTCCAATGATCAGTAACAACACTTGTGGCCTGACACAAACAAAGACCCTAACTAACTAACTATAGGCCTGGACTCAGTCTCAAGGCGCCAACACTGAAATGAAGGTGCGTGCACGATCTTACCGACCCGGGTCTGCTTTTCATCCGCTGGTGACTCTGAACAGAACAAATGTCTCTCCAACAGGCCTGCAATATTGTAGTGTATGCTGCGTTGTTCCTCAGCTTTCATCAGCTTCCTGGCAGCAATCTCATCAGCTTCACCCAGCTGCAGCTCACACGGCCCCTTCATTCAGCATTCTCCAGAACATGGCTCCTGCATTCAGCATCGTTCAAAAAACATGGCTGCAGTATCCTCTTCCTGTTCACTAAAAACCCCACCTCTTCATGAATATACAAATATCTATGCAGTCTGAGGCTGTGTTAGAAAAAACAGTGACATCTTGTGGCTATACCGCAGAATGTCAGTCAAAACATCAATTTACTCCACACCATAATTTGCTGCACACAAACAGTGTTCAAACAATGAGAGCAGTTTCCCCATCTCACAGGCATATATGCAGATTCACAGCGGGTGGGCTTTGCGCTGAGATGCTGCACATATGGGTCCTAAAAGTAAACATTTCTATGCTGAGAGAGAGTGACCTGCACACTCCCAGCACAGCTACTGGCGGTACCAGAAAGCTCCTGTTGCATACTTGTGATAATACTTGCAGCCAATCACAGCGGCCACATGATTGGAATGCCTGTTTCCACCTGCAAGCATTTATAACCCCTAAAAGGGCTGGTAGGGGGCAGAGGGAAGGGGTTAAAAAATAAAGCTGAATTCCAGGTGTTTTTTTTTATCACACGTATATTCGTCCAGATCAGGGCTGGAGGGATAACTGATGACGCTGGAATTCACAATAGTAGTCTTCCCTATTATAGTGATTGCTGCTGTCTTCTGGGTCCCACACCATGCAGCTGCTCTGCTGCATATTACCAAAGTGGGTTGCTTGTTTGGCATGGTTGCCATTCACAGAATGTCTTGCATTTTTCTCAAGTAGCACAAGAACCCTGAGCAACCTTTAGTTGAGAAAGTCTGATCCTGACTATAAAACCCAAAGATGTTGTAGTGTTAGTGCTAGTAGGGTGTGAATCCCTAGACAACTCTGGAGGAACATTAGAATTCTACAGAATCCTGTTTGAGAATGACTGATCCAGACTATAAAACTGAATATAGTACAGTGTTAATGCTAGTAGAGTGTGTGAACCACTAGAAAACTCTGGAGGAACCCTAGGGTTCCACGGAGCTGTGTTTAAGAATAAATGATCCAGACTATAGGACCTGGAGATGGTGTAGTGTTAGTACTATTGGAATGTGGACAACTGGACAGCTCTTGAGGAACCCTAAGGGTGACTGGTCCAGACTATAAAACCTGAAGATGGTACATTGTCAGTGCTAGTAGAGCGTGTGAACCCCTAGACAACTCTGGAGGAATCCTAGGGTTCCACAGAACTGTGTTTGAGAATAATTGATCCAGACTATAGAACCTGGAGAAGGTGCAGTGCTAGTACTATTAAACTGTGGACCCCTGGACAGCTCTGGATGAACCCTAGTGTTCCATGGATCCCTGTTTGAGAATGACTGATCCAGTCTATAAAACATGGAGATGGTGTAGTGTTGTGCAGTGTAAATCTGGTACTTGGAGTAGTAAGGCTCATGGCTCAGACTGCCCAACCAATAAGTGATGTTGTAATATTTGATGCAAAACGAAGCTGTCAGGTTGATTGCTCAAACAATTAGTCCAGATGCACACTAAGTACACATAAACCATACCCAGAGATTCCTATGGAAGCTGGAAATCACTCTAGTAGTCTCTGTTATTGCAATGATCACCACTGTCTACTGGGTCCCGCGCCAAGTGGCTGCCCTGTCATCGCATAGTAACAAAAGGTGGGTTGCTCGCTCAGCACAGGTGTCATTCACAAAACACCTTTCATTTTTCTCAGTGAATGTAAGGTGTTTTCTGATTGGACAAGTTGGCGAGTTGAGGCCGTGAAATCACAATCTCCACCTCATCCACTTAGAGAACACCTTGCATTCACTGAGAAAAAATGGTGTCCTTTAAATTGCACTCATGCCTTGCGAGTGACCCCACTTTGGTTACTATGTGGCTTGGTGTGGGACCCAGATGGGCAGTCACTCAGCATGGGTCCTGCAAGACATCAGTAATCACTGTGGTAGTGTCAGGAATGAATTCACCACTGGTGGTGGGACTCACCTGCCATGTGGGCTGCAGTACCAGGGCTGGTCAGCGGGTGCTTTCAGCAGCCAGAAGCTCACTCCTGCAATCAAACCATCACCTGAGGCTGATTGCAGGAGGTGTATTTAAGGAATGGCCAGGCCTGCAGTCAGGGCCTTGGTGTTGTTTCCCATGAGCCCCTGTACCTGGTATCCTGTGTTCCTGTGCCTATCTTCTGTTGCCGACCTCTGCATTGTTGCTGACCGTCTCCTGTTTAACCCCTGGCTTGCCTGATCATCCTTCTACCTGACCCTCTGTACCGTACTGCTCGTGATTTACTGAACCCGGCTTGTGACCCTGACCATTCTCTGCCTGATCCTCTGTACCGCGCTGCCCATGAGTTACTGAACCCGGCTTGTGACCCTGACCATTCTTTGCCTGCTCCTTCGGTACCTCGCTGCCCGCATGTTGCTGACCTGGCCTGCCTGACTACGCCTTACGCTACCCAGACGATCCATCCATCCATCCTGCACTGATCCAGCCATCCCTGCTCACACCTTCTGCCTCTTCACATCAGTATATACCTCTGGCGGATCCCTCTTCCACGAGTAGGTGTACTCAGGGGCCGCGACCTGGTTCCTGTCTGCTCCAAGTCCATCCCCACCATCAGCGGCCCTGGTGAATAAGCAGACTGGGACTTAGACTCCGCGCCCTGGGGAGTCCTGTCCTGAGGACTGCTAGAGGTACCACCAGACGGTCGTTAACAGAACCATATGGCCGGCCTGACCATTCCACCTCTCCAGCCCTGACTACGCCTGTGTTCCTGCACATGCTAAGATTAGTCGAAGGTTGGTTTGTTTACTGTGCGTTGTATATTTGAGTGGCTAATAATAAATTGTATTGTTATTATATCATTCCTGAAGCCTGTTACTTCCCTGTGTCACTCCACACATTTCTGGTCATACCCGGATCCCTGACAGGTAGCAATGACTACTACAGGTATTTCCTGCTTCCATGGGGATTCCACAGGTATGGTGTATGTGTAATGCTACCCTCTAAAAGGGTCTGCAGCTAATCCTAGTTGAGACTTGGCTAAATGAAGACTTGAAGCTTCCTAGTTCTCTCTCTCTTTTGCTCTTTCTTCTGCCACAGGGGCAAAACCCCCAACACGGGGGTTCCCTCCAGACAACTGGACCCTGGACTGCTAGACTGCCAGGCTGCTGAGTATTTAAGCATTGTTTCAACATCTTCTGGGCTCTGCCTCCCCAAGAATTGATGTAAACTTCATAAATATTCCCTCCACCCACTAAGTCCTAGAACTATCCAGAGAGTTCCAGAAGACAGGGGGAGGTAACAGAACCACAGCCTTTGAAGCACTACACAGCCTCCTAAGCAAAAATACCCCATACTCCTCTGCCTACAGGGATGCCAAACTAAATTTACCTATACTAGCAACAATGAGGGGGCTACATGTGCATATTTGCATCAGTCCAAGCTAGACCAACATAACTATGCTAAAATAAATCCAAACCTAGAGTTCAGCTTTAAAGACTTTCCAGATTTAATAAACTGGAGCAGCCGCAGAGCTAATTGGCAAGGCACTACTGAGGCAACATCTTTCAAATGAACCAAAGGACTTGACTGATTGCAACAGCTCAACTTTTGTTCTAAATTTCATCAGTCCCGACGTATTCCCATCTCTTTTTAGTCATTACAATTAATATTTCTTGATATCCACCCTTTGTAGCCAGGCAGAGGCCATCGGCAGCATTCCTGTGTGGACACTATCGAGAGAAAACCAACTGTGGGCAATAGAACTGTCCATCAGCAGAA